TAATTATCACAAATGACTGTAACCCCTCTCTCACGTCTGCCCAGCTCCTGTACTTCTTCCTGTGCACGATGGGGCTGGTCATTTCCGCAGTGGTCATTGCCTTCCAGTGCTACCATTATGCCCTGACTAACAGCTACAGCTGCAAGGAAATGGGGGAGTATTGTTTGTGCACTCTGGATCCTGAGGATCCCATCGCCCGCACTTTCACCTACAGCAGCGTGACAGACTGCAGTGCAATCGTAAGCACTCTACCCATGTATTACCTTCTGCAGATGGTGCTGAACCTGGCTCAGGCTATCGTCTGCCTGGTGGGGGCCTTCCTCATGTGGAAGCACAGGTACCAGGTGTTTTTCGCTGGGCTACAGACGGGATCTCCTTCTACCCACAATTGGCAGAAAGTTTAGGGCACTGAGAGATTTCTCTGGAGAAGTAAACATGTGGAGCGTGGGAGTGTTTGTGCCTTTAGGTAGGGTGACCATACGTGCCATTTTCCCAGGACGCATCCTGGCCAGGATTTCTATATTGCCTAAAATATCTAGGTTTTGGCTTTGTTTGCATGTGCAGACCGATCGGTGTATGACATCAAAGTACCATACAGACGGTTATGCTTTCGAAACGCTCTCGAGGTACTTTGATTTCAAACACTGATCGGTCTGAGCCGCGCTGCTTTTAAGTCGAACACACCTAATATGTACGCGTAATTGCATCGCTTTGACTGTAGATTCCACCTTCTCACACGCCATGACTGGTCCATTATGTACAATGCTTGCATGTTATTGGTCAAACTACTTTTCGATCATTACCTTCAGCAAGCATGAAAACAAAGCCAAAACAAATCCTGGCCAGGACGCGTCCTGGGAAAATGGCACGTATGGTCACCCTACTTAAGGGAAGAAACTGTTTGCTGCAGTGTCTGCCACACTGGGAGTTTTATGTCATGCAACCTTTTATCAAAGCAGTTGAATGAGTCTGTTTGTATTGCCATATTATAATATTTCAGGAAGTTTTATGCAATCTTTAGAGTTATTGTATTTTTCTATATTGGCTGTTTGAAAATTTCCACTTGTTGAAGTTAACTGTTTATTTTTACCACTGCCAAGGAAAATATTTGTATCTATATAACCAGTAAGTGACAAAACGAGACCTGACATTTTAGGAAAATGAGCGACACAATCCGTTATTGTGGTTGTCACTGTTGTGGTAATGGCATGCATAAAAACGTATTTAATTGCCAGTATTAACTTTTGCTTAGTCAAAAAAAAAAACACCTTAGAATGCAATTATTCACACATTAACCTTTACCTTTGACTCTTTTTCTAACTTCAGGTGTGTTTATTGTCCATTGTTTCTGAGAAAAATTCCTGGTGGTTCATTTACTGTTGATATATATATACACACACACACACACATACATTCAGATATAGATCTAGATATTTAGATGGTGACTGTGATTTTTCCAAGTACAACATGTTCCTGGATCAACATCCTTGTTGATCCTGGAACAACATTCCAATTAACCAATCACAATTGAGGGATAACTTTTCAGGAAATGGGTACTTAGACAAACAGCAGGTCACTGCCTCCACTTTCATGCAATGGAAGGGCAGATGTTTTTTAATCTTTTTTATTTTACATAGGTCTATTGCATATTTTATATTTGTGGCCAGGTGAAAATTGAGCGAATGTAAAGCCTGACAATCAAACCAAAAAGCTGTGTTTTTCATCATTAAGTCCTCGTCAATGAAGCTTGTGAACCAAATGAAAAAAACGTGATTTGAACACTGCCAACAGGAAGAGAGCTGCCTGAGGTGTTAAAAGAGTCTGTTGCTTTAAAGAGACCTACGGTCTGGTGTTTGGAAGAGATGCAACATGATGCTTCAGCACAGAAAAAACAACCATACATGTAAGCTTTGTATGACTCATCTTTCCTTTAAGCTGATTTCTAATAAAAGGCATTTACATAACCCCCTCTCATTCATCATTCAACTGCATGTCCTTTAAAAATTATTAACTGAATTTCATACTTATGTATTTCTCATGTTGTCAAGCAAACTGAAATATGCCATCTTTGGATCACATCCCCAATGATGTGTATGTAATCTAATAATAATAAAATACTAATATATTAAATTTATTTTTTATTTATATAATTTATATGAACATAAATTAATAATTGTTAACAATTGCTAACAACAAATGACTATTTAAAATAAAAAAAAATTATAATAAATAAGGTTTGCTCATTTTTTAAACAAAAAATGAAGTTTATTGTACAGGGGTGTGAAAAAGTGTTGGCCCCTTCCTGATTTCTTATTTTTTTTGCATGTTTGTCACAGTTTAATGTTTCAGATCAAACAAATTTAAATATTAGTCAAAGATAACACAAGTGAACACAGCATGCAGTTTTTAAATGAAGGTTTTTATTATTAATGGAAAACAAAATCCAAAACTACATGGCCCTGTGTGAAAAAGTGTTTGCCCCCTAAACCTAATAACTGGTTGGGCCACCCTTAGCAGCAACAACTGCAATCAAGCGTTTGCGATAATTTGCAATGAGTCTGTTACAGCGCTGTGGAGGAATTTTGGTCCATTCATCTATGCAGAATTGTTGTAATTCAGCCACATTGGAGGGTTTTCGAGCATGAACCGCCTTTTTAAGGTCATGCCACAGCATCTCAATAGGATTCAGGTAATACTGTACACCACCGTTCAAAAAGGTTGAATTAATCAAAAATACAGTAAAAACAGTAATATTGTGAAATATTAATATAATTCAAAATATCTGTTTTCTATTTGAATACATTTAAAAATATAATTTATTCCATTATTACTCATATTAGCCATTACTCAAGTCTTCAGTGTGATCCTACAGAAATTATTCGAATACGCTGATCAAGAAACATTTCTTATTATTATTCATGTTGAAATTTTTTTTATTAAGCATCATACTTTTTTCAGAATTCTTTATTGAATATTATTAAATATTTACAGTCACTTTTGATCAATTGAATGCATCATTGCTGAATAAGAGTATTCATTTCTTTAAAAGAAAAAAAAATTGCGGTAGTGTTTGTGAATCTGTAATGTGAATAGTGACCATGCGTTCTGAAGCCCCAATCAGGTAAAAAATTTGCATGATCTTGGTTTTGTCATTTTTTTTAACTTGACAGATATGGCCACCATTTACTTTCACTGTATGGACAAGAGCAGCGTGAACATTTTGATAAACATCTCCTTTTGGATTCCACAAAATAATGTCAAAGGGGTTTGGAATGACATGAGGATACATAAATGGCATCATTTACATTTTTGGGTGAACTATTCCTGCAACAGAACCATATTCTTGTCTCCTCAGCCTCTGCAGCAGAACTTCAGCGAGTCACTCTGTACACTATTAGATTAAGCAGGAACGTGGAGTCAAATGAAAAATCCCCCTCTGGTTTGCAGTGCTTTTGGGAAAGAGTGCAGCATGTGACAGATCTCATTTGCTCTCTGACCAACCAGCATGACAACAACATGCACAATCACATGCAGACCTATCACATGCAGAAAGAAGGAAGGGAGGGTGGTATATTTAGATTAATGAGTGTGTTTATGCAGGATGTTGTTCACTGTCTTGCCTTAATAACTGCACACCTGCATGACTGAACTTTGAGAAAGACTGCGTGTTAAGGAGGGATCAAATATTATCACCATTAAAACCAATTCAAATATTGACATGCATGCTGAGGGGAGACTGAATTTATATGTACAATAAATCGCATGATAAAACATTGAATAACTGCTATATCCATGACATTTGCTTCTATTTGATTGTTCCTGTTTCATGTTGAAAGACGTGCCTGCCGACAGATGAGCGATCAGTTAGTGAGAGTGGCAGTTATCCAACTAACTGTCTTCTCCTCCCTGATGGAGCATTCCAGACATGCTGGACTTTCCCCTGCTTAGTGACAGCTGTGAGCTATAATGGAGCCGTCAGGGGCTAATTTTAACCCGTGCCAGAGTGAAGGCACGAGCAGATGTGAATCTTTGCACTCTCAAGTAACTAGGCAGGGTCCTGTACCCTAAAAACACCAGGCGTACTACAGGTTAAAGAAACAGTTCACCCAAAAATTACATTTGCCGAAAATTTACTCACCCTCAGGTCATTCAAGATGTAAATGAGTTTGTTTCCTCATTGGAACAGATTTGGAGAAATTTAGCATTACATCACTTGCTCACCAGTGGATCCTCTGCAGTGAATGGGTGCCGTCAGAATGAGAGCCTAAACAGCTGATTAAAACATCACAATAATCCACAAGTAATCCACACGACTCCAGTCCATCAATTAACATCTTGTGAAATGAAAACTAGGTCTGTTTGGATGGGCTCCCGGATACTATTATAATGTTAGCAAAAAAGACTTCTATTTTAAATAATTGCTGTTTGTTTCCACGAAAATATTAAGCAGCACAACTGTTTTAAACATTAATAATAACAAGAAATGTTGCTTGAGCACCAAATCGGCATATTAGAATGATTTCTGAAGGATCACATGACAATTAATTTTTTTTTCTAGTATTCTCAATCAATATTACACTATAATGTTGGATGTCTGATTTAAATGCATTGTGCGCTGAACTGTTCTAGTACAGTGTTGAGTTGCCATGTCCATTAAAACAGCATTTGAGATCCACTGCTTGTGTGTGAATCTGACCTCTGTACACAGATCTGACAACAGATGTCAGCTATCAGTGCGGACACAACAAATTCATTTATAAAATGATCTTATCTTCAGATATTCTCGATCCTTGCATAGATACCTAAATATCCCAAAAATAATTGCTTCTACTATATCACATAATATTAACTCTCTAAACCTTAGTGTTTCTAAATGATATAAACTGTAGATAGTCAAACTAACCACTGTAATACCAAATATAAATTCTTTATTATTTTCTGTACAACTTTATATAAGGCAAGCACAAATATGCTAGTCACATCTCCAACATAAAATACACAATAAAAATTATCATCATTTAAGAGTTAAGACTAGCGTTTAGGTCTTCGTAGAAGGTGACACAAACAGATTCCAACGGTCACATGGTTGTCTGATTATGAGATGAGAATGTTTTCCAGTCTTATATCTTTCATTAAAGTAATGCTGAATTTGAATTATAAAAAAAAATATTAAATTGTTTAGAGGTATCTCTCCAGTTCTTCCAGCACAGACTAAAGTCCACTTTGAATTACAGCAATACTCAAGTTATGGACAGGGCAATTAAAATGTGAGGGAGTTAATATTTGACGCTTTAAAAAAAAAAAAGGCAGACAGCCCGTCCAAAGACTGTCTGAGTCATCTGGCGTAAGCTCTCATATGTGTAGAGTTCATGATTTTCCAAACAAACACACACTGTATGTTTCCAAACGTCCTCCGTCTATAAGATCTAAATGAGAAAACACTTACAAAATGACGCTCAAGTCTGTAGGATCTAACTGGACAACTGTCCTGTCATGATGTAAAGTGTGATATCACCATGAGTGTAGTGTTATTCATGGTGTGAACATCAGCATCTGTGTGTGAAGAGCATCCTCAGTGCGCAGGGGGGATCTGATGGTTCATCTGTGATGGTCCCAGGAAGCCCAGTCTCTGTTTATTCTTCCTTTGCTCAGTCATCTGTACACGTGCAGAAAAACACACACACACACACACACACACACACACACACACACACACACACTCACACACACTCACACATACACACACTCACACACTAAAAAAAAAAACCCACAAGGCTATCAGCTTGTTTTTTTAGTAAGCAATTTTATCTGTAAAATTCTGTAAAAACTGGTTAACGGTAAGTTTCCTTATTATATATGCTAAAAAAAAGTTTACAGATCTAATGAGACATTTCATATAATTTTACAGTAAAATAATGTTTTGAGAAGTGAATAAGAACAAGTCAGCTTATAGCTTACAATGACAAAATGTAAGTTGACATTCCCAGAATTCTCTGTGTGCTAGCTCACTTTTCATGGTTTTTCAATGAAATAACTGTTTCTTCTTAGTTTTATCAGTTATGTACATTAGGGTTTTGAGATACATCTGATGTTGTTGAATTAATGCTTAACGCATTATTTTAGTACCATGACAGGGTTTTACATTTATGTGTATGACACCATGCACCACCTAAATAGAATTTATTTTTCACTGTATGCCATATCAGCATCAAAGGCTATATACATAGCAAACTCAAATGTAACCAGATTTAAAATAACCTCAATTAACCACAATAATTCAATGAATACGCAAATTTAACAATATTATTTTGACAAACCAACAAAAAATAGATAAATGTATAAAAACAGCAATTATATACACAATCCTTCAATTTGACATTTGAAAAAAAAATTCTAATATTTTCCCAGGAGAATTAAAAAATTTTCATTAATGTAATTATGCAGTTTTCTCTCTACCACCCATGTTTGTAAGGTGGTTATCAGTATATTATAAATGTTTTAACTGTACATTTAGGATCAATCTGTAAATACCACTTTTTGTTTTACAGTAAAGTTCTGGTAACCAAAGCTGCCACTTTTTTACGGTAAATTTAACTGATCTTCTCACAGTGTACTTTCTGAAGATGCATTTACATTTACAGTTGTGCAGTGAAATTTTGTGGGCAATATCTAGTCATTCAATGGGAATCCACAGGGTTGGGAATTTTTGACTTAGGGTGAAAAAGTTCCTCATGCAGATTTCATTCATTTTCAAGAATCCGCCATGTTGACCAACAGAAAGCTGCTTGGTTTGAAAGTGACTTCTGTGTAGACAATTGACCTTTTTTGACAGTGAAATTTTGCTAATATGACTGCACATTGACACAATCACTCAGTTCCAAAACTTCAAGCTGCCTCCATAAGCAGCATTTTAGCGCGCACTCCTGACGTGAAGGCTGGTTCAAATGATCAAGATATTTTGAGAATTTTTTTTAATCCATATAATGGACGTCAATGACAACCAAAACTGTTTGGTAACCAACATTCTTCAAAATATCATATGTTCCACAGATGAAAAAAGTTTGGAACAACATGAGGATGACAGAATTTTCATTTTTGGCTGAACTATTTCTTTACAACATGGCGTCATTTGCACCAACATCAAAACGACCTCTTGTTCCATGGGTCACTTTTTTACTTTCCCAAACACACTGGGTTTGAACCAACGTGTATCTTTTTTTGACCTCATGGCCAATCCAGATAAAGAGAAGGAACTACCAAGTAAACAGTCCTAGCAAGAAAACGGAGGTAGAACACAGTGTGCTACACTGAATCAGTGAGAGCCCGTTTGTCTGAACACATGACAAGTTTGGATTTCGCCTACCGCATCTGAGCTGGATCTCAGCCTGGCTCGAGCTGAGAGGTGAGGAGGATCTGTTTAATTAGGCCTGGCTGTCGGAGAAGAAATCACTTTAATAAGTTATTTAACATCCAGCATTGCCAGGAGAATTACATTAAGCCCGCTCCTCGTGACTGCCAGGAATCAGAAGGACCGCTGGAGGATGTGAGGGGCAACACGGCGTGGTTAACAGTTCTGGTTAGACTGTTTCAGGCTCAGTAGTTTGGATCAGCGCCGATTCTCAATGACTGTGCAGTTCCTGTGTGTTTACAGCACAGAACAGTTCAAATCTGAAGTCTAAGGTCAAACAAATATGCAGACCTTAAAAAAAATGAGCCATGGGGCAGCAATTTCTTTTCCAACGTCATCCCATTAGAACCCAAAGCTCTCCCTCTTCCTGTGTCATGTGAATCGGTTAAACTGTTTGTGTGGAATCACATGTGGGCCAGGCAGGTGATGGCAGTGAACCGACACAGTGAAGTACAGCCGGAACATCCACATCGCCCCGGGGTACCGCCCCACCCCTGCTCTGACGCACTTCCTCAGCAGGGCCTAATAGTAAACACTTCAGAGGCCCCGTGAGGAAAAAGAACAGTTTTGCTCTGTGAAACCAGGCCGTCCCATTGGATGGTGTGCTGTATGTTACCTGTTCTTTAAGCTCGGACAGCTGGGAAGTCAGCTGAGCCACGAGAGTGATGGTGGTGTCCAGTCTTTCCTGCACCAATCGGATCTCATTCTGTTCGCTCTCTCCCTCTGAGCTTACCAAAGACATGGCCCGCATCCGTGGAAACCAGTCCAGATTCTTCTCCTGAAGGAAAGAGAATGGTGTGATTTGTTGTTGTTATTTCGAGCATTCCCCAAACATTTTTAGCATAGGGATTTGATTTAGCATTTGACTATTTAGCAATAAACACAAACATACATTCACACTATCATTCAATTTGGTTAGTTAAAAAAAAGAATACATTTATTCAGCAAGGATGCATTAAATTGATCAAAATTAAGTTGACACTAAAGACTTTTATAATGTTACCTAAAAATACATTTTGAATAAATGCTGTTCTTTTGAACTTTCTATTCATCAAAGAATCCTTAAAGTTTCCACTTCCACTTAATCACAGGTTCCGCTGCTTAAAGTATTAAGCAACACAACTGTTTTCAACATTGATAATAATAAGAAATGTTTCTTGATCAGAAAATCAGCATATTAAAGGGGTCATATGATGTTGCTAAAAAGAACGTCATTTTGTGTATTTGGTGTAATGAAATGTGTCTATGCGGTTTAAGGTTCAAAAAACACATTATTTTCCATATAAGGTACATTATTGTTTCGCCTCTATGCCCTGCCTATCTGAAATGCGTAGATTTTTACAAAGCTCATCGTTCTAAAAAAGCGAGTTGTGCTCTGATTGGCCAGCTATCCAGTGCGTTGTGATTGGCCGAATGCCTCAAGTGTGTGACGGAAATGTTACGCCCCTTAACATACTGTGATGCCGTCTCCCAGCAGGACGAGACAAAACCAATAAAACCCATTACAAATGAGGCACTTGTTGCATCCAGTGGGGACATAATTACGGATTATAATGACTTATACTGTCTTTTTACGCGTTGCTCAAACCTCGCGTTTGAATCATCAGTGGCAAATTATTTAAATATAAAAAACATACTTACAGGCTGTGAGTCAGAAGCGCCAGACTGTCCTTGCAAAGTTGGAACTGCCCAACTTTATAGAAACAGCCTTTGTGCCACAGACGCACTGTAGACTACTGGTTCAGAAAACAGTCCTCATCCTTCATAAAATGTGCTGCACACATCTGAATATTTGGGTTGAAGTGTTCTGGAACGGTGTTGTAAATACAACTTAACCACTGATTTCTAGTCATGTGCTCTTTTGGAAGGCCAAACAAAGTAGTTTCGCTTTCACAACGAAACACACAGCGACTCCACAACATGGCAGCGGCGGCAACAGCAATAATTAAAGTTACGCCTTCTGTCTTTGCGTTAACATTTGAGCGGCGTTATGCAAATCTTCCCACATCGTGACGTAGACGTGGGGGCGTGTCAGAATGAGCGGTTTTAGGTAGGATTGGTTGACTCTTAACTTTTATAAAGAATATCTCTTTGGATTTGAGACTTTAGTCTTTGCAACTTTACAGATCTTCTTTATGCACCAAGAGCTTGTAACACTTCAAAGAGAAAGGAAAATTTTAAAATCGCATCATATGACCCCTTTAAAATGATTTCTGAAGGATAATGTGACACTGAATACTGGAGTAATGATGCTGAAAAATCAGCTTTGCATCACAGGAATAAATCACATTTTAACACATTAAATAAAAAAATAGTAATTTTAAACTGTAATAATATTTCACAACATTTCCATGTTTTACTGCATTTTTGATTAAACAAATGCAGCCTTGGTAAGAATAATAGGCTTCTTCCAAAAACACAAAGTCTTACAAACGCCAAACTTTTGAACAGTAGTGCACTTTTATCCTTTTTACTAATTTTTAAGAAGAAAATGGAGAGAATTAATGGGACAATACTTTCAGAAGAAAGAATGCTGAAAAAGTGACACGATTTATCGTGATATAAGGACTACTGGGTAAAGTCCAGCTCTCAACAGATATATTCAACAAATAATTAGGCTAAATAACTACAAAACAATAATAGTCCTCTCAGAAAAACTTACAGATTATACATAATAACAGAAACACTGCTCACAGCAGGTGATTTGAGAGTAATTGTCTTCAAAATCATTGCTGAATGTGATGAATGTGTTACAAAAGTGGGTTTAATGGCTTTAGGATTTAATGACACTACTTATTGGAGGATGTTTTACCTTGCTGACAGTCTCACACTCTACAGTGCAAGTGTAGCAGCAGTTTTGTTGCATAACAGTTGCTGCTGAAGACCTCAAAGACTGTAGCACACTAAAGCACAGCATGTTGCCACCAAGAAACTGCCTTTCTAAAAAGCAGTAGAAACAGTAGGCCTCAAAAATGGGTTACAAATCCGTTTTGATCAGGTTGTGGACAGAAGCTGCACAGTAAATAGATTTTTTTTATGTTTTTGAAAAGTCTCCTATGCTCACCGAAGATGCATTTATTTGATCAAAAATACAGCAAAAACAGTACTATTGTGAAAAGTTATTACAATTTCAAAGAACTGTTTTCTAGTTGAACATATTTCAAAATGTCATTTATTCCTGTGATACAAAGCTGAATTTTCAGCAGCCATTACTCCAGTCTTCAGTGTCACATGATCCTTCCAAAATCATTCTAATATGATGATTTGCTGCTCAAGAAATAGATTTATTTTGTAACAGTGTAGAAGTCTTTACTGTCACTTTAATGCATCTTTGCTGAATAAAAGTATTAAACCTTACTGACCAACCGTTCAAAGTTCATCAGAATACAAAATCATCACTTGGAAGAATCTAGCCAAATTAGACAGATGTCAACATGGACATGATATTTGACATCACAAAGTAAAATAAAATGAGACCCAGACTACATTGAAATGTTAAATGGCTTTGTGCTATGAATTATCGTCTGACTAGACTAGAATATGGACGACTAAGTTGATCATCAAGACCCATCTCTACTTGCAAAAGCAAACTCATGAATATGAGCCAGTGTGCTGAAACTCCCTCAAGCTTTTTCTTTCAAAAGCTAAAGCATATAGAGGCAAATCTGGACAACTTTAACACCTAGATGCAAAGATAGCTCTAGAAACCAGAAAGTAGTCATGAAAATGAACCGCAGTCAGAGTTTTTTGTTTTAGATAATAACAGCGAGTCATTCTGTTTGCAAAGTGTGTGTGCCCACACAGAAGCTCACGTACAAGATATTTGTTTGCGTTCTACAATTTGCTGTGTGAGTGTGTATGTGATTAGTGTGTACATCTGAGTTGATCTAGTGTGGGGTGTGTGGCGTGTGTGAAATAAGGAGGGGGGTAACAGTGCAGTGGCTCATCACAGCAGTTATGTAAGGTGCTTTTCACAGTCAGCCTGACAGGAGCGCTGCAAGGTGCGCAGAGAGTTACAGGATGTGTTTAGAGGTGGGAAAAGACTGCCTTCCCTTACACAATCATGAAACTCATGAGGTGACACACCCGGGGATGCGGATCTTCTGATTCGAACACAGTGCTTTTCTCTGCTATACAATAGGGAATGAGGCTTTCCAAGAAAAACACACTGGATAAACACGCTGCTCTTCTGAGAAACAGGCGCATGAACAAGGTCAAACACACTTTCACACAGAAGCGGGACAAAGTGACTCGCTGGAAAAGAGCGGTCTGGTTTTGCTTTAAGGGGTCATATGATGCGATTTCAAGTTTTCCTCTCTCTTTGGAGTGTTACAAGCTGATTGTGCATAGATAAAATCCCTGAAGTTGCAATGGGATCTAAAATAAGAAAAACAGGAAAATTAGGATTAGGCATAAATTGCTGCTAATTAGTTCCAGAGAATGGTGCATTATGAAATCCATTAAAGGAAGTGGGAAATCATTGGTCAAGTGAGGACAGATGAACAGAGACTAGATTGTGAGGGTCGAGTCTCATGAACTGCCCTATTTTTCACTAAAGATGAGACCTGAGGTGCGGGGGTGAAAAAACAAACAAGAAAACAACACTGTTGTGACGGGCCAGTGAAAAAAAAAAAGATGAGCGATAGAGTTTAGTTAAGGTCAACTGGCAACTTATAAAATTATACATGATTAATCAACATTGAACATTCAGTGATAATGGCCTTACAGCTGCCTCATAAGCTCAAGGCAAGACAAATATTAACATGTTCATATACTGAATATGCACTACTGTTAAAAAAAAGATTTTTAATGTTACATTAGTTAAACTAACAATGAACAATACTTCTACTATATTAATTTTACTTAATGTCAATCTCAACATTTATTAGCAAGTTTTTAAGATCAAAATTTGTATCTGTTAATAATTACATTTTTGAGTGAATTATCAATTTAAAAGACTAAAATTATAACTTGATCCATTCTAACACTGACTTTAAATAAAGCCATACTTTATTTAGCAAGGAAGCATTAAATTGATCAAAAAGACATTTATAGTGTTTATATAATCTTTCTATTTCAAATAAGTGCTGTTCCTTTGAACTTTCTATTCAATAAAGGATTCTGAAAAAAATGCATCATGGTTTCCACAAACAGCACAATTCTTTAAAAAATGTATACTAATAAGAAATGTTTCTCGAGCGCCAAATCAGCATATTAGAATGATTTCTGAAGGATCATGTGACACTGAAGACTGAAGTAATGAAGCTGAAAATTCAGCTTTGCATCACAGAAATAAATGACACTTTAAAATATATTTGTTTTCCATAACATGGAAAACAGTAAAAATATTTCACAATATTACAAATTTTATAGTATTTTGAATCAAATAAACGCAGCCATGGTGAGCTCCAAACTTTTAAAGTTTAAAAGCTCCAAACTTTTAAAAGGTAGTGTATGCTAACAACCAAATCAAGCGAAATTAACCTGCAACTCAAATAGAAAAAAAAATATTTTAACATCTAAGAAATTACACTAGTCACATATAGCACCTTATAACATAGCAGTGAACACCTCAAAAACGTACAAAAACATCTATACACTTCAGCACATTCACGCTGCTGCAGACTTGTGTGTGGGAAAGGTGTTTGGTCTGTCATTAAAGTGTCATTAAACTACTTTTCTCATCTGACAGACAGCATAATCGTTTGATCACGTGTCCTTGGCTCTCATCATCATAAAGCAGCTGTTTTGTAATGGAAAGGCAGTTTCAGAACGCTGCCATCAAACCGACTCTGGAAATAGCAGCATGATTGCAATAATCAGTTTGATTAGCATGGCTGGCTGCTGCACACGCACTCCTGCAGTCATCCGTTCACACACACACAGCCCGAGACACCCAGCTGGGAGGAACGGATCCAGCGGTGAATAAGTGACCTTTGAACTTGCATTGATCACAAGTCTAGAGGCCAAGGAGTTGTTTTTTTTCTTGTTCCAGCGACAGTGCATGACGACGGTGTTGCCAAGGAGACGCCTGACTCACTGTGTGATAATGAGTGGCGGAGCAGGTGTGTGTGTGTGTGGGACAGGAAAGCACGTGTGAGGATAGGCTGAGCTAATAGCAGGCCACTTGAGATGGGTTACATAACAATGCTGTGACTGCTGCAGTACCTGCTCACACTCTCTTCTCCAGCAGCCTGTGAGTGATAATCTCACACACACACACACACCTGCTTCAATGTAAACTTGCAGTTGAAACTGTGCTGTGCTCTTCTCTTTGAATATGAGCAGAGAAGCTACTGTAGGGTGGGCTGTTTTGCAAAGATTTGCATTAGTTGTGCTTTCAGGTGACTGGAGTCTACAAACACAAACACACATACGTACACATACACACACACTTAATTTAAAAGCCATAGTGTAGTATTTGGCATTCAGTTACTGTTTCCTCCCGCCTGCTATACTACAGAAGCTGAAGATCCTTGCATGAGACAGAACAAACACTAGGAAACTAAACAAGCGTTAGTTATGCGTCGCCCATGCCTCATCTTTCCCATCTCAGCTTTAATGAGGGGCCCTTGTGTTTGTAGCAACTCACAGTAATTAGTTAATATAGTACTAATAGAACTCAATGTGTCATCAAGCAGGGCTTCATGGAAGCTGGGCCTGCAGAATCCTGCAGTAAGCTCTGTAGATTTCCACAGAATCCAAACAGCCGTCTACTAATACGCCGGTTTATTGTCCAGGCTGATAAAATGGCCAACCTTTGGCCCTTTTGAGCTTATCAGCATATGTCACTAACAGTGGGACATTAATATTTTTATTCAGCAAGGATTCAAGAAACTGATCAAAAGTGACAGTAAAGACATTTATAATGTTATAAAGATTTTTATTTGACAAATTCTGTTCTCTTTCGAATTTTCAATTAATCAAAGAATCCTGAATAAATATGCATCATGGGTTTTACAAAAATATTAAGCAGTACAACTGTTTTTAACATTGATAATAATAAGAAATGTTTCTTGAGCACCAAATCAGCATATTTGAATGATTTCTGATGGATCATGTGACACTGAAAATTCAGCTTTGCCACCACAGGAATCAATTTTAAATATATAAAAAAAAAAAAATTTGTTAATTGTAGTAATATTTCAATTTTGTAAATACATTTTTTATTAATATTGTCATTTAAATTTAGCCTTGGTGAGCATAAAAGACTATTTTTCAAAAACATTAAAAGTTTGACACCAAACATTTGAACATGCACTGCCAATCATATGTTTGAAGTCATGACACGTGAACTCTATTTTAGAATAACCTATAAATAGTAACGTCATCAAAACTTAATAACACAAGTAAAAGTATGGAAATTATGTCTAGTTACCAGAAATGCTAAGCAAATCAACCATTATATTTTCTCTTCATACCTCATGCACACTCTTCATGTGGTCCTGGGATGCTTTTTAAGCAGCAGTTCCCATGCCAGTTTTTTTTTTCATGCAAAATGTATGTATGTATGCACGCATGTATGTAAATACATTCAGAACTGTGCAAATTCTATTTGAGCCTAGTCAATTAAATCAGTCTTTTTGTGCAATATTCATTATTGCACAAAATATAACAGGCTTATATGAAACCATAAAGACTCCTGTTCTGCTCTCCTACACTATGAACATTATCCCAACTTGGCCCATTATCATAGAGAGGAAGCACTCATAACAAGGGTTCTAATGACTACCACTGAGATACCAGCAGAAACAGAATATCACACATATATAAACAAACAAATGAGTGTGCGCGCACACACACACACACACACACACACACACACACACACAGAGAGAGAGAGAGCGAGAGAGAAACTTTAGGAACTCCATCTCATGCAAAATGTATGTATGTATGCACGCATGTATGTAAATACATTCAGAACTGTGCAAATTCTATTTGAGCCTAGTCAATTAAATCAGTCTTTTTGTGCAATATTCATTATTGCACAAAACATAACAGGCTTATATGAAACCATAAAGACTCCTGTTCTGCTCTCCTACACTATGAACATTATCCCAACTTGGCCCATTATCATAGAGAGGAAGCACTCATAACAAGGGTTCTAATGACTACCACTGAGATACCAGCAGAAACAGAATATCACACATATATAAACAAACAAATGAGTGTGCGCGCACACACACACACACACACACACACAGAGAGAGAGAGAGCGAGAGAGAAACTTTAGGAACTCCATCAAGCTAGTATTTCTCTTATTTTAAGGAAGTTCACTGTCTCCTTTTGCTGGTGCCCACTGAAGACAGTCTGCTCAGAGTCAGAGACAGAGATATAAACACACACACACACACACACACACAGAGAGAGAGAGAGCGAGAGAGAAACTTTAGGAACTCCATCAAGCTAGTATTTCTCTTATTTTAAGGAAGTTCACTGTCTCCTTTTGCTGGTGCCCACTGAAGACAGTCTGCTCAGAGTCAGAGACAGAGATATAAATACACACACACACACACACACACACACAGTACACTTTCCTAGTGAGTCCTTGGTTTGTCACTGCTAACAATGTCAAAAATGACAATGCAAACAAGAATCCAGTTATATTATATTCATAGCAAAATTATTTCATGCTACCATTAAGTGTTTGACATACTGATTGACATACAGTGGACTCCAAAAAACTATTTGGACATTTGAAATGTCTGAATTTCACTGTATTACATAAGAAAATCATGTAATGCAAATTATGCTTTTCTTATAACTACATTTTTGTTAAACTTTTTTTCATTTATGTTCTGTATGAAAGCTTGTTTCCACCACAGAATAAAAAAAACATAAAAGGTCATTTTATCTCACAATTCTGACATTGTTTCAAAAATTACAAATTTATCTCACAATCACAAGTTATAAAAGTTTACATCTCGCAAAAATCTGACCTTTTTCCTGAGTTTAAACTGAATTTACATTCTAAATTTACATCTCACAATTATGACTTTTTCTCGCAATTGCAGTTTATATCTTAATTTGGACTGCTTTAAATTGCTAATTAATCTCATAATTGCAGTTTTGAGTTTATATCTTGCAATTCTGAGTTTATATCTCACAATTATGACTTTTTTCCAGAGTTGTGCAAAAAAGAGAATTCTGAGAAAAAATTATAGTTGATGTCTGAAATAAGGTTCACACAGGTGTTCCATCAGAGTAAACACACATCACATTAACTACATGAACATGACAATCAGAAAGTGTCCAAATACATTTTAGAGGTCACTGTATCCTTGCACCAAATGTGGTGATGAACTAACCTTAATCATTTGGGCCACGTAGCTCTCGGGGCCCGTGTACTCGGTGGGGTCCTTCACCTTCACCAACACCAGGAAGTACAAATAGTGCCACATGCTGTGCTCTGACTTGATGTGTTCCTCAAATGACACAGTCTTGTTATCAAACTTGTCTCTCTCAAGGCCTGAAGATGAGCAGATAATAAAAATGAAAGGTTCTTCAAAGAAAGAGCCCACACTGTCTATCAAAGTCATTTGTTTTATTCATGGTATTCCACTGTTTATAGTCACTATAAAACTTTCGGTCCCACTTTATATTAAGTGGCCTTAACTACTATGTACTTACATAAAAAAATAAGTACAATGTTCTTATTGTGTTCATATTGTATTGCAAAACACTTTTGCTGCTATTGAGGTGGGATATGGGTAAGGTTAGGGACAGGTTTGGTGGTTTGGGTAGGTTTAAAGGTGGGTTAAAGGGATAGCTCACCCAAAAATGAAAATGTGATGTTTATCTGCTTACCCCCAGGGCATCCAAAATGTAGGTGACTTTGTTTCTTCAGTAGAACACATATGATGATTTTTAACTTCTAATTGAATTGAATTGAATTGAATTTTTAAAATCTATGAGAGTAAAAAAAACATGCACAGACAAATCCAAATTAAACCCTGCGGCTCGTGACGACACATTGATGTCCTAAGACACGAAACGATCGGTTTGTGCCAGAAACCGAACAGTATTTATATCATTTTTTTTACCTCTAATACACCACTATGTCCAACTGTCTTTGGGCGCGCGCATAGCATCCGGTGCGTGAGGTGTGTACGTGCTCTGGCGTAGTTTATGCAAGTACCGGAAGTGATCTCTCGCACGTATACGTCACTCATTGTAGGTACGACGGCTAATCAAAATGGTACTTACTTGCGCTTATCCGGATTGTTCAAACCGACTTAAGACTAAAAGATTACGTTCTCTTGCGCGAACTCATTCGGGAGTGGTGACTTTCCACTAGTGTTGCTTTCGTCAACGAAAATTATGACTAAATATAGTCGTCAATGAACCTTTATCACGTGACGAAAACGAGACGAGACGAGACTTAAATGCTGGTCATGTGACGATGACTAAATGTACAATGCAATATCATTGACGGATAAAAACGAGACGAAATGTGGCTTACAAAATAAAAACTATGCTAAAATGTCTCTTCATTTTCGTTGACCAAAACGAGACGAAACTAAATGTTATAATGTTATTTCGTCTCGTTATTATTATTATTTTGCAGTATTTCTGTTTCCTGTGTCTCGCTTCAGGGTCTGCATCAGGTCGTGTGTATAAATACTGTTCGGTTTCTGGCACAAACCGAACGTTTCGTGTCTTAGGACATCAATGTGTCGTTACGAGCCGCAGGGTTTAATTTGGATTTGTCTGTGCATGTTTTTTTTTACTCTCATAGATTTTGTTACCATTGACATGCATTATACGACTGATAGACTGCAACGGCTAAAGTTAAAAATCATCATATGTGTTCTACTGAAGAAACAAAGTCACCTACATCTTGGATGCCCTATTATAAATGTAATTACAGAAATGAATTACAGATGTAAATTACATGCAAGTATTTTTAAAATATAAGTATAATGTAAAAACATGTACACAATAATTGCATTGTACCAAATGATTAATTTAAATGTAAGTACATAGTAGTTAAGGCCACTTAATATAAAGTGGGACCAAACTTTCTCCCACATCTGTTATTCTCTAACATAGTCTTTATGGCCTCTTTAGTGGAGTAAATGTCAGCATGATCGTAGTTGAATCCATCAAATAAAAGCCCTGTCACAGACCTCATATACAAATTCAAAGGCAGTCAGAGTAATAGAATGTGACAGGGCATGACATCTGCTTAGAGACGCCCCACTAGCTTGTTCCAAGCCGTCCAAAGATGTTTGCTGCTGTGCAGATATTGAAAAGTGGTGTTTTAAATGGGCTATATTCTACACTTTTGTAGAATTTTATTTTGTGCATACAAAACAATTTAGTTTTATTGGAAAATTTTCTGCCTTCACTATGACCCAAATTCAAAGGCAGTCAGAGTAATAGAATGTGACAGGGCATGACATCTGCTTAGAGACGCCCCACTAGCTTGTTCCAAGCCGTCCAAAGATGTTTGCTGCTGTGCAGATATTGAAAAGTGGTGTTTTAAATGGGCTATATTCTACACTTTTGTAGAATTTTATTTTGTGCATAAAAAACAATTTAGTTTTATTGGAAAATTTTCTGCCTTCACTATGACCCTTATGAATAAGATTTTTTGCTACTGTAACTTTAAAGTAACTTCTGCATGTGGAAGAGACTGAAATCTTACGCTCCATCATAGCACTCAACTTATTCCAGGATTCCCACACTTTTTGTCCAATTTGGCTTTTCAAATTCATATCCCAGTCAACAGGATAATGATTTTTAAAAATACTTTGATTCACAACAATTTGCTAAAGAATCATTTATACCAATGTAGGATTGAAACATTCATTGATTCAGTAAAAAGATAAAAATATAATGAATATTTTGAGGTTTTCAATGACCACAGACAACGCTACTCGTTTTGATTTATGCAGAAAATGAGCACCTTATACATTCTGCTACATATCTTTGTGTTTTACGGCAAGGATTACTGTTATGACTGGCTAACCTCTGTTAACTAATCCTGTTTTTTAAATTTGTTCCCTTTAAACGAGACATACCACAAATGAAGCAGGTTGTCTTCAGAATTTCTTCCTTTCTCTGTTTCTCACTCCTCAGGTCAGCGAAGGTGTCAATGATCACACCAAAGATGAGGTTCAACACAATGATGATGACAATGAAGAAGAACAAGAGGTCATATACGACACGTGCTGGGAACATGGGCTCCTGAGGAGTAACAGTAAGAGGGTTATGAATGAAGATATATATACTGAAACAATAAATACTTTATTTAATCTCTAAAAGCAAAATTTCAACAAAAAAAAAAACCTAAAGTACTCAAAAAAAAAAGTTTTTATCTTTTATTGATCCGCAGTTTTCAATCATCCCTAAAATAGGCTCTTTGAAGCTGGTGTGACTGATTTTGCAACACTTCAAAGCATATAGACAGATGCTCAGAGAGAGTATAACCGAATGCAGGGGTCCGTAAAAGCATGATGTACAAATGCGTGCAGATTCCACAGCTTTAAACATGGATTATACTGACAGTATTAGTGACGCTGGAAAGGATTCATTGGCGTATCTCATGTCTGAGTGTGCTGCGTTGATGATATTCCGTTCACCTCTTTGGAGAGCTTGCGCAGAACATCTGCGATTCCTCCTCCGTTCCTCAGCCCGTGGTTCAGAACCGTAATGATGCACATCAGCAGGGTGTCACACACACGCTCTGTACCATCTTCATCCTCTTCTTCCACCAAGATGAACACACACACACAAATATACAGACACTTGATAAAATAACAGTTTCAAACATTTATATTCAGAGTTATAACTTTATATTCAGGATTTTTACTTATAGATTTAGATGTATAAATATCTATTCAGAATTTTAACTATATACATTCAGAATGTTCATATTTATTTATATATTTTGATGTCTTAATTATATATTCAGAATTATAACCATATATTCAACATTTTTACATATATTTATTTACATAATCTATTCAGAATAATTACATATTTTCTATATAGTTAGATATATAATTATCTAATCATAATTTATAATTATACATTAAGGATTTTTACTTCTATATTTATTTATATGAGATGTATAACTAGCTATTCAGAATTATACTTATATATTTAGGATTTATTTCTGCATTTAAACATGTATTTAAATTTATAATTGTAACTTCATAATTATAATTCTTACTATATATTCAGCAATTTTACATATTTATTTACATATTTAAATATATAGTCTATTCAGAACTAAAACTACACATTCAGTATATTTACTTATTTTCTATATTTTTAGTTGTATAATTACCTATTCTCATATTATACATTTAGAATTTTTACTTTTTTTTTGTAAATAATTATGTACACATTTATTTATATTTATATATATATTCAAATTTATAACTACATATTCAAACTAAATATTAAAATATTTAGATTTATATAGTCTATTCAGAACTAAAACTACACATTCAGTATATTTACTTATTTTCTATATTTTTAGTTGTATAATTACCTATTCTCATATTATACATTTAGAATTTTTACTTTTTTTTGTAAATAATTATGTACACATTTATTTATATTTATATATATATTCAAATTTATAACTACATATTCAAACTAAATATTAAAATATTTAGATTTATAATTGTCTATTCAGATTTAACACTATACATTTAGAATTTATATTTTATTCATAAATATAAGCACACATTAAGATTTGATAAATCAATCAATTCATCAATCATTCCATCCCTATATTTCTATCAAATGCAAATTAGAGAGATTTTTACTAGTGGACTCCACTGTATATATAAATAGTATATAAGGCTTAAAATTATATATATATAATACATATATACACATATATATATATATATATATATATATACAGTGGGTACGGAAAGTATTCAGACCCCCTTAAAT